CCCCCATTGCCAGACAACCTCCCATCACCAGACACTAATCACAGAGTTCCTGTTGCCAATATTTGTATAGCAGGCAAGTATTCATGAGAAGCATTCAGGTCTACTGGGCAGAACGCTGGAATTGTAAAACGATGAACCACATGTACTTAATATTCTTAAACAGTAAGCTGAACAATAGTGGGTCATTGAACAGTACACTACTTTATAGTCATGTACCCTGTCAACACATCATTGGCAGACCAAACATTCAAGATATAAAATAAACACAAATACTATTTCTAAAATATAATTTATCTGATATTAGTATTTTCTGCCAGATGACAGCTTCAGATTTGGTTATTGTCATCAGTTTTGATGAGATAATGAGAAATGCTCAATTTATTTTCACATAAAAATGCAAGCAGATGTCATTCATGCTGAAAAACATTTTACAATATTAGAAATTATTTCTGTCATCGAACAATACCCCCAGAAACGTACCAGTATGTGTGACCTTTTGGTGTCCTGCATAAGACCAACTGCACGACAAACATGATTTCACCACAGAAAATAAATGCCATCCATATTTAGTCACTCCAACCACAGTATCCTTTCAAATGTTTCCTATATTGTGGCCACAATGCATGTTATCCCCCCCCCCACTGTTTGTACAGTTGTACAGTTGGCGTACATACTTGTGAATTCACATGGTATTAATTCAGTTGTGTTTCGCATACAAACAGACTTACAGATGATATGATAAACCAGGAACACGAGTTTGATAAAATATACATAAATCTTGATATGAACGAGTGTTGAAGATATGAAATGAAATATATTTTACTATTGGAAACCATTAAGTTTACTCGAGAATATATTGCACTTTTTATCATCTCTTTTTTCCTCACAGACTCTGGCAAAGAAGCCGGAATACAGATTTCAAAATCCTCTCAGTATACCTGTTTACTAATACAAGCACTAAACAATTCAGGCATTCAACTTTAATTAATGAAGAGAATGGCTGGCGTAAATATCTAGTATTACAGACAGACAATTTCTGTTCCTAAAAAGAACATTATGAGGGTACTATAACCCGACAGGGGGATATATGCTATTGCTATGGTAACACCAATAATAACAGTAAACTCACCTTCTGGCGATTCTTCTTGCATATAAGAACCAGTTAAATACCTATGAACTAACGCTGATTTACCGCTAGATATACTACCAATAATTCCCTGCAAATAAACAATCAAATCAGTACATCTTTCCTGCGCGTCATGCCCTCTAGTGACGAAGACTTCCTGTGACGTCAAAATGCTATACATTTGTACACGGGTGAAGGCAATATCGTTTGAATCGATCACTGTGCATGGTTGTGTAGTTGTTTGTCATTTAGAATATTGTAATATCTGTCAAAAATGTGGTCTTTTTTGATGAATGACAACAGATCAAAATGATACCGGCCTTTGTGCTACCCATTTACGTCATTTTGTCAATGCAGAAGATTTATTAAAGAGCGGTAAATCACCGAGCCACACGTGTGCGAGATATATTGGTCTCATATAAACAAAGACTTAGACTGTTGCGCAGAGCAACGAGTGCAAACCGAGACGTTACCAAGCTTTAATTAGGTATTTTTTTAGGTGATTGGAAGGTATCAAAAGAGTCATCGGCGGGAATTAGTGCAAGTCGCGCCCAGGTCAAACCTCATACTTGTGATTTCCATTAGAAGAGCGCATTGGATTGTGAGAAAATCAATGTCGCACATGATCAGCGCGACGACCACCGTTCTTTAATGTTCCAGTATGATCACATGATTAGATAGAAACCATGCGACATGGGCCAGTATGCCTTCAAGTTAAATTAAAACTTACCGTACATGTAAAAACAACTTTGTCCCGTCTCCACAAACACAAAATCAAAAATGATATTGCAACGAAAACATTCTACTGAGAATGTTTAACATACAGCCTAGCAGAAAAGCTGATGTGTATATAAACCACATATACAGTGTAAAGGTATATATTGAATAACAATGAATGTCATCAGTATTAAAGGCAG